GAATGATGCACTAAGGAATGGAGTGTGGTACAAATATGCAACCCTAGAAATGTATACCCCATATGGGCTTCCCCACTACAGCCTACAGAACATTATCATTTGACAACGCATTACAAGTTCAGTCCCAGTTCGCACACATTCTGAAGATGCAGACGTCAAGACCCTTCGATGGAAATGACTTCTTCACCTGGTCGTTCGAGTTTGAGCTGATGATGGAAGGCGCCCAGATACTCGGGTTCTTCGACGGGTCTCTGCCATACCCAACAAACGGCACACAGTTAGAGAAGCAGCAGTACACCTATCAGTCAATGATGGCGTACACGATCCTACTGAGGAATATCACCCCGACTCAACAGCAGAACATAAGGTCTTACCGAGGTTACGGCAACTCCGCGGAGCTCGCGTACAACCACCTGAAGAGCCTGTATCAAGCAACAAACAGCGTAAGCCAAAGTCGGTTAATGGCGCAACTGACAACGGTTGAAATGAAACCAGGGGAGAAAGGAATGGCGTATATCAGTCGATGTCGCGAGTTGCGCGACAAGCTTCTTCGATGCGGAGGGTCGATTTCTGAAGACGCCTTCGTGACAGTCATCATCGGCGGCCTCGGTCCTCAATGGCGCGCCACAAAGGCCATTCTCCGAGCTCACGAATGAATCTCCGAAGCAGCGCTCTGCCCCGAAATCCACGCCGAGCAGCAAGACATGGACCTGCAAGAAGAACGACACAAAAAGAAGACATCAGCACCGGAATTCGCGTTCCACACTCAGCGACGCTACAACAACAACAACAACCGGCTGCAACAACCGAAGCCAGTACCTCCGTTCTGCCACATCTTCAAAACTTCAGGACACCCGTGTACGCACTGTCCGAATCGTCAACAGTCAACAACTCCACAGCGGCAACTTCGACCTTCAAGCAGCCAAATCGCCTCAGCGCAAGCAAATCCCACGACTCAGATTCAAGCCTCAACGACCTCAACAGGACAACCTGCACAAGGAGCAAGAAACATCGTCAGCTGCATGGCAAAGCTGAGTGACTCCTACATCACTGAGTCACCACCACACTACTCACCGGAAGAACAACTCGACGAAACCACACCCCACCGCGAGTCACTTCAGCCGAACCCGACATACGCCGCCATCGCCCAAAGCGAACCATCCGGAAAGGACACATGGTTCTTGGACACTTGCTGCGGACAGCACATGTGCTCCTCGGGACGCTTCGTTCAACGAGAACACCAACTTCAACGCGAAGTTGTCATTACAGTCGCCTACAATCAGGTGTAGTTCAACTTCAGTCAAAGGAAACAAACGTTATACTGCAGATGTCAAAAGTACTAATCGCGGAGGGACTCGGCTACAACTTACTGAGCGTCCGTCAGCTAATGGCAAAAGGGATTCACCTCGAAGCAGACAGCACCACCCAAGAATTCAAGCTGTATCACGGGAGAGGAGGACTCTACATCGGCAAGGCGGTCCTCAAGAACAACGTCTTCGTTCTTGACTTCGTTCTTGATCTTGGCACCGCCGATAGCAAAGCCATCGTTAACTTCACCAACTGGACACACCTGTCAGATTATTATAGCTGATGCATGTTTGTAGGCTATAGTGGGGTAGCACATATGGGGTACAGTTTGCTAGGGTTGTATTTGTACCCAACTCTGACTTAGTCAATTCATTCCTGTTCAGTTAGTTTCACATGGTATAGAGCGGGTCCCTCCTAAGGACCGTTCTTTGGGCCCACCCACGATTTTTTTTTTTCCTGCCCGGAGCGCGCCCTATTCTCCCCGAGGCGCGCTCCCCCTAGTGCGCGTCGAGCTGCCCTTGTGGCGCCCCGAGAGTCGCGCGCGCGACTCATTTTTTTTCGCGCGCGCGGTTCAGGCCCCACTTCGCGCGGCCCTTACAGCCGCGCCGCGCCGCCCTCTCGGCTCTGCCGCGCCGCGCCGCCCTCAAGACGGCCGCGCGGCCTCTTCGTCGCTGCAGCAGGCCCCCCCCCCCCCCCGCTGCACCCCTGTCGGCCCCGCAGCCGCCTTACCTGACGGCCGCCGCCTCACCTGACGGCCCGCCGCCTCGACTTCTGGCCCGCCACCTCACCAGACGGCCCCCCCGCCTCACCTGACGGCCCACCGTCTCACCTGCTGGCCCGCCACCTTACCTGACGGCCCCGCCGCCTCACCTGACGGCCCGCCGCCACCTTACCTGACGGCCCCGCCGCCTCACCTGACGGCCCGCCGCCTCACCTACTGGCCCGCCACCTGACCTGACGGCCCCGCCGCCTCACCTGACGGCCCGCCGCCTAACCTGCTGGCCCGCCACCTCACCTGACGGCCCGCCGCCTCACCCGCTGGCCCGCCACCTGACCTGACGGCCCCGCCGCCTCACCTGCTGGCCCGCCACCTGACCTGACGGCCCCGCCGCCTCACCTGACGGCTCGCCACCTCGCCTGCTGGCCCGCCACCTGACGGCTCCGCCGTCCCCTGTCCCGGCCCCGCCGCTGCACCCTGACGGCCCCGCCGTCCCCTGTCCCGGCCCCGCAGCTGCACCCTGACGGCCCCGCCGAGCCGCCCAGCAGCAGCCGAGCCGCCCAGCCGCAGCCGAGCCGCCCAGCAGCAGCCGAGCCGCCCGGTACCCGAGACGCCCGAGCCGCCCGAGCCGCCCGAGCCGCCCGAGCAGCCCGAGCCGCCTGCTGCTGACCTACCCGACTCTCCCATCCTGGTGAGACTTTCAGCTGCTGTCATGGCCACCCCCAATGTTCTCACTTTTGACGCTGAGGGGAGGGCCATTGACTTTGCCGTCTGGATCGAGGACCTGCAGCTGTACTTACTGTGTGATGCGGTAGATGAGGTCTCTCTCTTTGACTTTGTCTCTGGCGCTGTCCCTGCCCCGCCTGCTGATGCTGACTCTGCCGTTCGCTCCAAGTGGGCGACCCGCGATGCTGCTGCACGTCTTGCTGTGCGTCGCCACCTCCCTTCCTCTGAGCGTGCCCACTTTAGTCAGTGCAAGACCGCTCAGGCCTTGTACGACGCTGTAGTTGCGCGCTACTCCTCCCCTTCCTCCGCTACCCTTAGCCGCCTCATGCTACCGTTTCTCTTCCCTGACCTCGCTTCCTTTCCCACTGTCGCTGACCTCGTTACCCACCTCCGCGCTAGTGACACCCGCTACCGCGCTGCCCTTCCTGCTGAGTTCCGCGCTGCGAACCCTCCTCCCATGTACATCACTCTCTACTTTCTCGTCACCCGTCTTCCTGAGTCCCTTCGTGTCGTTAGGGACCAGTTTCTCTCTGTCTGTCCCACCACTCTCACTGTCGACCTCCTTGAGGAGTCCCTGCTAGCGGCTGAGAAGAGTATTGTCGCTGTAGGGGCCTCTCGGGGTGACCCTCGCACCCCCATCTTTGAGGGGTGTGGTCCCTCCCCCCTGCTGCCCTCTGTCGCCTCTGCCGCTGCGGCCGACCTCGTTGGTTTTGAGTCGGTCGGCGCGGCGTCTGCCCCCAGTGGCAGACGCCGCACTGGCAAGGGCAAGGGGGGCAAGGGAGCGGGTGGAGCCAGAGGGGGCGGTGGAGGAGGCGGTGGGGGTGGAGGGGGGAGTGGGGGTGGCGGGGGGGGTGGTGGCGGGAGTGGAGGTAGTAGTGGCGGCGGTGGAGGCGGAGGTGGCGGCGGAGGTGGTAGCGGAGGAGGCGGTGGGAGCGGTGGGAGCGACGGTCCTGGTGGGGGAGGTGGCGGTGGCGACGGGGGTGGCGGTGGAGGCGGGGGTGGCGGTGGAGGAGGGGGTCGGAGTGGCTCGTCCCAGCGGAGCAGCTCTGGGGGTGGTCAGCGCCAGCAGCAGCAGCAGCAGCAGCCACAGCAGCAGCCGCAGCAGCAGCAGCGCTCTCGCACCGTCCCCGGCCCTCAGCAGCTCCGTGAGTGGTACTTGCAGCGTCAGCGCGGTGGTGCGCTTGGTCCCTGCCCCTACGTTCTTCGCACTGGTGACCGTGCAGGGGAGAGGTGTGGAGGCGCCCACACAGCCCGTCGCTGCTTTGGCCGCCTGACCGACGCCTGGCGTCAGCAGTTTCCGGAGGCCGCTGAGATCCCCCGCTGGGGAGAGCTGTCTAGGGCTGGTGTAGCTATTTATGATCTTGATTTTGATGCTATTCTCTCTGCTATGTATGCTGTGACTGGTAGTGATGAGGATGACTGTTACCGGTGTTTCCCGCCCGACCCGGGCATTGGTACTGCCGCGTCAGGTACTAGTGAGGCTGCTGCTCTAGGTGCCAGTGCGTCTGTGCTTTCAGGTACTGGTGAGTCCGCCCTCTCAGGTACTGTGTCGGCTTCGGCCTCTCACACCTTCACCCTTGACTCTGGAGCGTCTCGCTCCTTCTTTAGGGACCGCACCACTCTCACGCCGCTCAGTCGGCCGGTTGCGGTGTCCCTGGCTGACCCCTCTGGGGGGCCTGTCCTGTCTCGCTTCTCCACTGTCCTCCCGTGTCCGGCGGCCCCCTCTGGCACCCTGACTGGTCTCTACCTCCCCTCGTTCTCGACGAACTTGGTGAGTGGTGCTGACCTCCAGGATGCAGGTGTCCACCAGTTCACCCCTGCTCGTCAGCGGGTGACCCACTGTACGGAGGCCGATACAGGTCGCCACCTGGCTACGTTTACACGTCGGCCGGGGTCGAGCCTGTACACACTGACCACTGCTTCTCCTCCAGGTACTGCGTCTGGTAGGGCCCCTTCGTCTGGTCAGGTGTTTGCTGCAGCGTCCAGGTCTGGTCCTGAGTCTGCCCCTTGTTCGTGTCGTCGTCTGTCTCACGAGACCCTCCTCTGGCACCACCGCCTTGGCCACCCCTCTCTGCTTCGGCTCAGAGGCATGGCCTCGCGGGTCCTTGTGTCTGGTCTTCCCCGGTCCCTCCCTCCCCTTCCTCCGGGCCCTGGCCCTGCCTGTGTCCCCTGTGTCGAGGGGCGCCAGCGTGCTGCCCCTCACTCCTCCCAGTTTCCTCCGACAGAGGCCCCGTTGCAGACGCTTCACATGGACGTGTGGGGCCCAGCCCGCGTCCGTGGACAGGGTCAGGAGCGCTACTTCCTGCTAGTGGTTGACGACTACTCGCGTTACACCACAGTCTTCCCCTTGCGCAGCAAGGGTGAGGTCACTCAGGTGTTGATCGACTGGATCCGCGCAGCTCGTCTTCAGCTTCGGAGAAGCTTTGGCTCTGACTTCCCTGTCTTGCGTCTGCACTCGGACAGAGGCGGAGAGTTCTCCTCGGCCATCCTGAGTGCCTACTGTCGTGTGCGAGGCATCCGTCAGACCTTCACGCTTCCGGACTCACCACAGCAGAATGGGATCGCTGAGCGCCGCATCGGCATGGTCATGGACGTCGCTCGTACGTCCATGATGCATGCGGCTGCTCCCCATTTTCTGTGGCCGTTTGCGGTCAGGTACGCTGCGCACCAGATCAACCTCCACCCCAGGGTCTCTCGACCGGAGACCTCCCCAGCTCTGTTGTGGACGGGGAAGGTTGGCGATGCGTCGGCGTTCCGGGTCTGGGGATCTCGGGCGTTTGTTCGCGACCTGTCTGCGGACAAGCTGTCCCCTCGTGCTTCTCCCTGCGTCTTCCTGGGGTTCCCCCCCGACGCCCCTGGGTGGCAGTTTTACCACCCCACCTCTCGACGTGTTCTGTCCTCCCAGGACGTCACATTCGACGAGTCGGTACCCTACTACCGCCTCTTCCCCTACCGCACTCCGTCCCTCCCCCCACCCCCGCTCTTCTTGGTACCAGGTCCCCCCCCAGTAGCCCCCCTCCCCCCTCAGGGTCCTGCCCCTTCAGGTGTGTCTCAGGTAGACGCGGTCGAGCCTGTCGAGGTCACTGGTGACTCCGGTGCTGCTGCGGGAGCTGAGCCTGGGGGTGCGGAGTCTAGGGGTGCTGAGCCTGGGGGTGCTGAGCCTGGGGGTGCGGAGTCTGGGGGTGCTGGGCCTGGGGGTGCTGAGCCTGGGGGTGCTGAGCCTGGGGGTGCTGTGTCTGGGGGTACTGAGCCTGGGGGTGCTGAGCCTGGAGGTGCCGAGCCTGGAGGTGCTGTGCCTGGGGGTGCTTCGTCTCGCCGGGAGCCGCTCTCTCCACAGGAGCTGCGTGAGTGGTTTGCTCGGCGCTGGAGGCGTGCCGCTGGTGCTGGTGGTTCTTCGGCTGCGGAGGGCGCTGCTGCCACGCGACCTGGCGGTGCTCGTCCTGTGGGTGCTGGAGCTGCTGGGTCTGAGGGTTCTCCTGGAGCTGGTCCTGCTGAGGACGTTGGCGCTGAGCCTGCGGTTGGTGGTCCGACTGACGGTGCTCCTGGTGCTGCTGCTGGAGGTTCTGGAGCTTCTGGTGGTTCTGCTGGAGGTGCTGCTGGAGTGGGTGCTCCTGCCGGGGGTGCTGGTGCTGTTCCTGCTGTTTCTGGCGTCGCCGCGCGGCCCCGACCGTACTTCGTTCCGCTCCTGCAGCAGGTTCTTGGTCTTACACCTCCTCCTCCTCCCTTAGAGGGTCCGCAGCCTGTCCGGTCACAGCCACAGCTACAGCCTGCCTCCCCTTTGCCTGCTCCTTCTCCCTACGCTGGTCCGACTGGAGGTCTTACTGAGCGTCGTGAGCCTGCGTCTCGTCCTGCGTCGCCTGTTCGTACTGAGCGCGCTAGTGGTCGCGGGTCGCGTCAGCGTCCTCCTCCTGTCCCTGGCACGCACCGGATGTCACTGCGTCCGTCCACTGCTCCTCTGCGTGCCCCTTTGCCTTCTCCTCCTGCTTCCTCTCTTCCTGCTCTTGCCGACCCGGAGTCGGACTCTCTTCGTGCTGCCAGTCCTACTGTCACGCGTCTCCTTGCTACTGCTGTCACTGACCCTTCCTTCGAGTCGTCTGCTGCGTCTTCCCTTGTCACTGAGCTTGTCGACTTTGCTGCGCGCTGTCGTCTAGACTACGCTGCTCGTCTTGTCGCTGAGTCTGAGTCCGCCTGTCCTCCGTCCGTCGGGGGTGAGTGTGCCCTTGGCACGGACGTCCTAGAGGACAGGCAGGAGGAGTTCCAGTGTCTAGCCGCTGCTTCACCTCGTCTCGCGTCTGTACTGCTAGCCCCTGAGGGAGACCCGGATGCACTAGACATCCCGACTCCGCGTTCTTACGCGGAGGCCGTAGAGGGTCCCTACTCCTCTCAGTGGCAGGCAGCTATGGATGCAGAGATGGCTTCCTGGAAGTCCACAGGCACCTACGTTGACGCGGTTCCCCCTCCTGGGGCGAACATCGTCAGTGGCATGTGGATCTTCAGGGTGAAGCGGCCGCCGGGCTCGCCGCCTGTCTTCAAGGCGCGTTACGTGGCTCGTGGCTTCAGTCAGCGGCAGGGAGTTGACTACTTTCAGACCTTCTCTCCCACCCCGAAGATGACCACTCTTCGGGTGCTGCTGCACATTGCCGCTCAGCGCGACTACGAGCTTCACTCTCTCGACTTCAGCACTGCGTTCCTGCAGGGTAGCCTGCACTAGGAGATCTGGCTGCGCCGTCCGCCTGGCTTCACTGGGACTTTCCCTCCTGGCACCCAGTGGAGCCTCCGACGGCCAGTCTACGGTCTCCGCCAGGCACCGCGTGAGTGGCACGACACACTGAGGACTACGCTTGCGGCTCTTGGGTTTGCTCCTTCTACTGCTGACCCGTCGCTGTTTCTTCGCACCGACACTTCCCTGCCGCCGTTCTACATCCTCGTGTACGTCGACGACTTGGTCTTTGCCACAGCGGACACTGCTGGACTCGCCTACGTGAAGTCCGAGCTGCTGAAGAGACACACGTGCACAGACCTGGGTGAACTGCGCAGCTACCTTGGCTTGCAGATCACTCGGGACAGAGCACGCCGCACCATTACCCTGACTCAGTCACACATGGTGCAGCAGGTCCTTCAGCGCTTCGGCTTCACGTACTCCTCGCCTCAGGCCACTCCTCTGCCTACTCGCCACTCACTCTCAGCTCTGCCTTCGGATGAGTCCGTAGAGTCGAGTGGTCCGTATGCAGAGCTTGTTGGCTGCCTCATGTACCTGATGACCTGCACACGACCTGACCTTGCATACCCTCTGAGCATCCTTGCACGCTATGTTGCTCCTGGGAGACACCGACCAGAGCACATGGCTGCAGCGAAGAGGGTATTGCGCTACCTGTGCAGTACGTCGGGCATGGGGCTAGTGCTTGGAGGGCGGAGTCCAGTGGTCCTTACTGGGCACGCAGACGCTTCTTGGGCTGACGACCAGGCTACGCAGCGGTCGTCACAGGGTTACACCTTCAGCCTTGGTTCCGGCTCTGTCTCGTGGCGGTCTACTCGCTCGTCTTCGGTTCTCGGCTCCAGTTGTGAGGCTGAGATCTACGCCGGGGCCATGGCTGCACAGGAGCTTCGCTGGCTCACCTACCTGCTGACTGACCTTGGAGAGCTGCCTCGTTCTCCTCCAGTGCTGTACGTAGACAACAAGGCCATGTTGGCCTTGTGTCGAGAGCAGCGCTTGGAGCACAGAACGAAGCACATTGCTCTCCGCTACTTCCTTGCTCGTGAGCTGCAGCAGCGTGGTCAGTTGCGACTTGCTTACGTGGCCTCTGAGGCCAACACTGCTGATGTGTTCACCAAGGCACTTGCGCCTTGCGACCATCAGCGCTTTTGTACCCAGCTGGGTCTTGTACCTGTCTTGCCTCACTTGCTCTCTTCTTGACTTTACTTGTACTTTGACATATATATACCTGCTCTTGCTTGTCTAGTTTTATATATATGTCTGTACTCCTGCATGTGAACTGGCCTCTGGCCTTGCTCTTGTGCTCGGACTGTGTGGTGACTTTGTGATCCACCCTGAGCTTGTTTTGCTTTGCTTGACTGGTCTTGTGACCCCTTGTTCTCCCCCACTTTGCCTATGGGGGTGTGTCAGATTATTATAGTTGATGCATGTTTGTAGGCTATAGTGGGGTAGCACATATGGGGTACAGTTTGCTAGGGTTGTATTTGTACCCAACTCTGACTTAGTCAATTCATTCCTGTTCAGTTAGTTTCACAACACCCTCCAGACCTTGATCTAGACTTCAGTCCAGAAGGCTTCTGGTATTCACACACCATCCCCGAAGCAGAAAGAACAAGGGCGTTAGCAACAATTCAGACAACATCAGCAGCAGCAGAGACAACATCAGCAGCAGCAGAGACAACATCAGCAGCAGCAGAGACAACACCGGCAGCAGCAGAGACAACATCGGCAGCAGCAGAGACAACATCGGCAGCAGCAGAGACAACATCGGCAGCAGCAGAGACAACATCGGTAGTAGCAGAACCATCAACGGCAGCAGCAAGAACGTCAACACCAATTGCTGGTCCTTCAACGACACCGCTCCTCATCGACGACACACCACCGACACCCGCGCAACAACTACACCCAGCACCACGAGAAGTTCATCGTAGCGCCAACTTCACCGCCAACTTCTACTCCAACTCCGATATGTACCGACGATCACCCGGACATCGCGCCGACGAAAGCACCTGGCACGCAAGGATGGGACACCCAAGCAACACAGTATTAAACAATACGATAAGAGCAGGAGTACTCGACAAGGACTCACTCCTACTGACAGACGGACGAGAACTTCAACGAGTACGCGGAACGTGCTTCACCTGCCCTGAAGGTGACTTACCACATCGACCGTTTGCGTCTCATCACAACCCGAGCGCTCCTGCTTACGCACCACTCGAGAAGGTGTATAGCGACATCCTGTTCAATCGGGAACCAGGACAAGTAATATACAACTATACAATCACCTTCATCGACGCCGCCACCCGTTACGTCTGGCACCTAAACCTCCCTAGCCGCGACTTGGCATTCGAAGCCTTCGTTGCCTGGCTACCAGTAGCAGAGAGAGAATCTGGCGTGAAACTGAAAAGCTTCCAGTCAGACAGAGGAGGAGAATACACCTCTCAGCGATTCAAGTAGTACCTGGCGGAAAGAGGAATCAAGCGGCTCATCTCCCTTCCCTACGCCCATCAGCAGCAAGGTGTAGCAGAAAGAATGAACAGGACCTTGCAGAACAGCATGCGCAAACTGTTACGTGTCATGCGGCTACCCAACAACCAGTGGCCTGCGGCAATGGACCACGCCGTCATGCTGCACAACTTGCTCTCGTCATCATCGCTTCCAAACAACGCATCACCGCATCTGCTATGGACAGGGAAACAGGGCAGCACAAAAATGTTACGAGTATTCGGATGCATGGTACAGTATCGACCCCCAGCAGCACGAGCGGGCCGATTTTCTCAACGAGCACAGCGGGGACTACACCTGGGAATCGGAAAGAACTACAACGCGTGGAAAATCTTCGACGTCCATTCCAAGGAAAGAGTAGCAGCACGTGATGTAATTTTCTACGAACGACTCACGCTCCAGACATACCTTGCCAACCTTCAAGAAGACCAGGATCCCACAGGTGGTTTTTGCGGTGACCGAGCCTTCGCCTCAGCAGCGGACGAAGCTGACTGGGATGAGCAGAATGTGGACAACGCATCAGAAGAAGCCGGACCTCTTCCGTTCTGCTCCGTCGACGTTCCCATGGACGAAGATAACCCTCGCGAAAGTGTCAACGCTGAAACCTTCTACTATTTCGCCGACAACGCTTACGTAATACCTGCGACAGCCAACACCAACGAAGCAGAACGAGTAGGACCGAACTTCATTCCTGATCCAGAAGCGGGAGATGAAGCAGCTTATCCCGAGGACGCAAATCTTCCCCGCTACTCACAGAGTGGACTGCAAATTCTCAGACTCGTCACCACAGTCCACGGCACCGCCATTCCTAAAGAGCCTGCGATAGTTCAACAGGCTCTGGAGGGGGAGCATAAGGAAAAATGGCGCGAAGCCATGGACAAGGAGCTGAAGGCACTGGAGGAACGCAACACGTGGAAAGTGGTTCCTATCGGCGTGGCACGGAACAAGACAGCGCTCACCGGGAAGTGGGTCTTCCGTGTGAAGACAGGCTGACGGCATCATTGACAAATTTAAAGCTCGCTGGGTTGTACGTGTTGAAATGAATGGACAGGAATGAATGAACTAACAGTGAAAACAGTACAAGTACCTAACCCTAGAATTGTGTACCCCCTATAGGCTAACCCACTGTAGCCTAAACAAGCAGAACATATATAATGTTTGACACACCCCCATAGGCGAAGTGGGGAGAACTGGGGGTCACAAGACCAGTCAAGGCAAAGCAAGGCAAAACAAGCTCAGGGTGGATCTCAAGGATACAACACAAATTCCGAGCACAAACAAGTGGTCACAAGACCAGTTCACATGCACGTTCAAAATAGAACAAGAGGTACAATGATTACAACCTACCAAGAGTAAACATGCAGGTATATATATATAGAGATTACAGTACAAACAAACTCAAGAAGTAAGCAAGTGAGGTCCAATAGGCACAAGGCCTAGAAGAGTGCAACAGCGCTGATGGTTACAAGGCTGAAGCGACTTGGTGAACACATCAGCAGTGTTGGCCTCAGAGGTCACGTAACGCAGACGAAGCTGACCACGCTGCTGCAGCTCTCGAGCAAGGACGTAGCGCAGAGCAATGTGCTTCGTTCTGTGCTCCAGTCTGTGCTCCTGACACAAGGCAATGGCTGCCTTGTTGTCGACGTACACCTTGGAGAACGAGGCCGCTCTCCAAGGTCGTTCAGCAAGTAGGTGAGCCAGCGTAGCTCCTGGGCCGCCATGGTTGTGGCGTAGATCTCAGCCTCACAACTGGAGCTGAGAACAGAAGAAGAGCGAGTAGAACGCCAAGAAACTGAACCAGAGCCAAGACTGAAGGTGTAACCCTGAGACGACCGCTGTGTAGCCTGGTCGTCTGCCCAAGAAGCGTCTGAGTGCCCAGTGAGAACAACTGGGACTCGCCCTCCAAGCACTAGCCCCATACCCGACGTACTGCATAAGTAGCGCAACACCCTCTTAGCTGCATCCATGTGCTCCTTCCGGTGACGGCCGGGAGCGACATAGCGTGCAAGAATGCTAAGAGGGTATGCAAGGTCAGGTCGAGTGCAGGTCATCAGGTACATGAGGCAACCCACAAGCTCTGGATACGGGCCACTCGGCTCTACGGACTCATCCGAAGGCAGAGCTGAGAGCGAGTGACCGGTAGGCAGAGGAGTGGGCTGAGGCGAGGAGTACGTGAAGCGGAAGCGCTGAAGGACCTGCTGCACCATGTGTGACTGAGTCAAGGTGATGGTGCTGCGTGCTCTGTCCCGGGTGATCCGCAAACCAAGATAGCTTGTCAGTTCACCCAGGTCTGTGCACGTGTGTCTCTTCTGCAGATCCGACTTCACGTGGGCGAGTGCCGCAGTGTCAGCAGTGGCAAAGACCAAGTCGTCGACGTACACGAGGATGTAGAACGGCGGCAGTGAGGCGTCGGTGCGTATAAACAGCGACGGGTCAGCAGTAGAAGGCGCAAACCCAGGAGCCGCAAGTGTAGTCCTCAGTGTGTCGTGCCACTCACGTGGCGCCTGGCGGAGACCGTAGACTGGCCGTCGGAGGCTCCACTGGGTACCAGGAGGGAACGACCCAGTGAAGCCAGGTGGGCGGCGCAGCCAGATCTCCTCGTGCAGGCTGCCCTGTAGGAAAGCAGTGCTGAAGTCAAGAGAGTGGAGCTCGTAGTCACGCTGAGCGGCGACGTGCAGCAGAACCCGAAGAGTGGTCATCTTCGGGGTCGGGGAGAAGGTCTGGAAGAAGTCAACTCCCTCTCGCTGACTGAAGCCTCGTGCAACGTAACGCGCCTTGAAGACAGGCGGAGAGCCCGGCGGCCGCTTCACCCTGAAAATCCACATGCCACTGACGATGTTCGCCCCAGGCGGGGGAACCTCGTCAACGTAGGTGCCTGTGGACTTCCAGGAAGCCATCTCTGTGTCCATGGCTGACTGCCACTGAGAGGAGTAGGGACCGGCCATCGCCTCTACGTAAGAGCGTGGGGTCGGGATGTCTGGTGCATCCGGGTCTCCCTCAGGGGCAACAAGCATGGACACGAGATGGGGCAAAGCGGCAGCAAAGCACTCAAACTCCTCCTGCCTGTCCTGAAGGACGTCAGTGCCAAGAGCACACTCACCCCCGACGGACGGAGGACAGACAGACTCAAACTCAGCAACTAGGCTAGCGGCGTAGTCTAGAGGACAGGTGGCAGCAAAGTCGACAAGCTCAGCAACTAAGGCAGACGCAGCAGCGGACTCAAAGGAAGGGTCAGTGACAACAGTAGCAAGGAGACGCGTGACAGTAGGACTGGCAGCACGAAGGGAGTCTGACCCCGGGTCAGCAAGAGCAGGAAGAGAGGACGCAGGAGGAGACGGCAGTGGGACACGCTGTAGAGCAGTGGAGGGACGAAGCGCCATCCGGTGAGTGCCTGGGACAGCAGGAAGAAGCTGTCGCAGGACACGACTACCAGTGAGAGCTGCACGGACAGGCGACGCACGACGAGACGCAAGCGACGCAGGACGGGACTCAGGCTCACGAGGATGTAGAACGGCGGCAGGGAGGTGTCAGTGCGCAGAAACAGCGACGGGTCGGCAGTAGAAGGAGCAAACCCGAGTGCCGCCAGCGTAGTCCTCAGTGTGTCGTGCCACTCACGTGGCGCCTGGCGGAGACCGTAGACTGGACGCCGGAGACTCCACTGGGTACCAGGAGGGAAAGACCCAGTGAAGCCAGGT